TCCGTTGAAATCTCGAAATTTATTTTCAGCAGCATTACATAACTTTCCTTGTACTCCGTATATACGTATGTGTACGTGTAAGTAAAAATATGTATTTTTACTTTTCGATTGTTTACGAATTTTTCAAACGGTAGTTGAAGTATTTGACAGAAACTGTCATATTATAATATTACGTCGACAAATAGTATTTTTGAATTGTTATAATGAAATAAAATGTGTAAGTAGCCTATATGCTTGATGGGAATTCTGTTTTGGATGTGATGAGATCTATAAATGGTAATTATTTTGAATAAATTGACCAAAATAACTTAATACTGGCTTTGGGGGCCAGATAGCCCTCTTTGAATTCGCCACTGCGCATAACATTTTGCACCTTATTAGTGTAAATCATTTGTTTTAAAAATGAAAATAGCTTGATACTAAGAACCAATTTCGAACGGCCGGACCCTGCACAATCATAAACGTATTAACAAGCCATTACAAATTTGTTTGGTGGAATAAAAGTTTAACCTGTGAACCGTCCTCTAACGAAAGACAGAACGAGGAAATCAATGGGGTCTCATATCGAATAAAATCGCATTAAGTCTGTGCAATGTAGCCAACGTAGCACTTATCCACGAATAATGAAAAATGAACTGCATATTCTGAACACTAATTGCGTTTCGAACCTCTCAAGTTCTAAATCCCCCACTGTATGGTCATATATGATCTCGCAGGAACGACCACAAGTACAGAAAATGTCAAAATTTGACGTTCGCATACCTTAGAAACTGAAAAATATTTTAACATAAACTTGTTGAAATATATTGTAATATGTTGTAAAATAGATGCAGCGTCATTTCTTGAATAAACATTTTTGCTCAGGGGGACCGCCGCGGACCCCGCCTCATTGTTTTCTCCGCCCATCAGAATGAAGTTGGTTTGAGTCTGTCAAATAAAAAGCTTTTCCCGGCTGGGGCGGTGCCTCGCTGGTGGGAGTTACGTTAGGTTCGCGGTAGACGGTAGCCTGATACGACAGTAGGTCGGCGCCGAATCTCGCCATCCAGCGGGAGAAGATCACCGCCACCTCCCCATGAAAAAATGTGCACTACACTTACTGGAATAATGACCTCGGTAGTTGACCGGCATCACTATCAGTCAATCAAATAAAAAAAAACTAAACACGCAACGTCCTTAAATATCTTCCCTAGGATGCACCAGGAAGTTGTATCAAAATTAAATCCATCCCTGTCTGTGAGTCGCAGAGCGCTGACGAGTCGCGAACGGCGCTGAAATGCCGTGTCGAACGCCGTTTTCCAGCCAGACCCTGGGGGGGGGGGGCAACTCTGCACAGACGTCTGCAAGAGATCGCAGCAAGGTAACAATACAACTGCGAAAGAAATGGGAATCATTCGTACATTTTCGCAGGCATTCCTAGGGAGAGTTTACGAAGACAAATGATTCATAGCAGGAAATGGTGTCATTTTTCTTGATGTCATCAGTTAACGAAGAAGGCAAAACGAATACTTATTTTAACTTTGCCGTCCAGCGGGCGATCTCATTTCGTAAGACCTGCGAGTGAGTGTTTTATTCTTTACATACGACAATAATCGAAATTGCATTTCAGAACATTTCACAGGCGCGTATTAAAATTCAAGAGGATCAGGCAAAAACTGACGAACATTTATGAGTAAATGAGTGCACACGACAAACCTCTAGTAGGCTTCCAGGAACACAGACGAATAAACGTACATGATATTTTATTGTGCGAGTCACAGAAGGTGAATGATCACTAGAATATAACCAAATTAACAACTAGTTAATTCAAGCATTACAAACAATTACCTTACAAACTGAAAATGATATTTTTTTCGTTATAATCGAGCAAATTGTGACCACTCTGTTCTTCCTTATTCATGCGGACAGGCTTTAATCGCCCCGAAGAATCCCGTCCAACTTTGGCATTTGGTTTCGAATCCCTTTTGAGGACAGTTCTCTAAGTATGATATACCCTTCTTAGGGCGATTACAAAAGTGTGGATACACAGCTGGCAATAACACAAGCGTGAAGAACGAAAAATATAATTCCTTTGTTACTGATACCACAAAGAGTGTCAAGACAATAAAACAAATTCGTAGCCATCAAACCAGATCATTCATGTGGGATAAAGATTACAAAGAAAAGTTTCCTCCCACTTTAAGAGCTAATGTAAATTTTAGTGTTACAATAAAAATTTGAATAATTTTAATTAATCATTTCTTATAATTCCTTTTGTGTGTGATTTTTCATTGTTTACACGCCTTTTTGCACCCCTAGAATATATGTCTTTTTTGGATATGTTGGGTGTACCCAGGCACTATTAGTAGTTAAAACACAGGTTTCGACCTCCCAAGACCCTGTGCCAACCAAAGACTTTGGAACCTGTGCCAACTCCGGGACATCCGAAAATCCTGACTTTTTCTGTTTTTTTGCTCTGTAACTCTTTAACCTTTAGTCCCGTAGAAAAATGATTCAATTCAATTTTAAAGATGATAACATTTTCTACAACTATTGTATGAAACTTTTTTAAACTAATTGCCAAACGAGCTACAGCATTTCAAAACAACGGTATTATTTCATTTCTCCACAATTTGTGCAAAAATACACGTTTGTGATATTATATACAACACATATAATTATTATTACATGTAATACTATTATTTATCTCACCGTCGGTATTAACATTGCCTCTCGAGATCGCTAAGGCAGTAGTGCCGTAGCGAACTCGGTCCAAAGGATCGCGGGTTCGAGTCCCGCCTCGGGCATGGTTGTATTGTGTTTCGTCCTTTCACCCCCTATCATCATCATTATCGTGTCAACCCACCGTTACCATACCGTTACAAGCAATAGTGGTCGCTAATGACCTAGTAGTTGATGCGACCTTAAATAACAAACAAACAAATAAACAAAAAAATCCATTGTCTCTGATATGCGCGCATTGACGAAAATATTAATAAACCAAAACAATTAAGGTTGTGCATATGTATGTTTTCGTATCCCGGAATAACTCTTCAACGTGGAAACAATACCATTTCAACCAAACTTGATATACATTATAACTGAGGTATTGCAGTGGGGAAAATAATACTGTTGGGTTCACCCCTAGAAGGGTGAATTGGAAGGACCCTGTTTCAAACATTCTCATGTTAGTGAGATATATTTACAGGCACATGTATACACAGTATGTATCTGTACATACTTACCAATAGTATCCCTTGGCCCCATTACAATACTATTCATCTCAGAGTAAGGATCAAGTTCTTCAACAAAACAGTTTCCTGTCAGGCCAAGAGATTATTCTCTTTCTATTATTTGTAGTACAAGGGAATAGTGGATTATTCTGTTTCTCTTGTATTACATATAATAAAAAGATAATATTTTTTTAATTACACAGATTTCATTGAAACACCTGAAAATTACACATATTTTGAAAAAAATGCACGACATAATTTGAGGATTTAATTTGAATAATAGATTTCATTGACAACTGGAGTCTTCTTGAGACATTTTTGTGAAAATTTTGAAGATTTGTTGGAGTTTCAGAAAAATAATCCCCAAAAGATTCAAAATTCATTTCAAATCTGCAGGGCTTCAACAAATCAGATCCCAGTTGGAAATATTAATTTTTGGGAAAATTCGATGTGGTAAGTGCTAGCGTGTTGTACAGCAATGGAAAGGTAAAGAGAGAGGAAGAAAAAAGAAAGGTAAAAAGAAAAATGGGAAAAAAAGAAAAAAAAAACTTTTTTCACGTATTGGAAATTAAAATATCAACGTTGATTTTAAGCATTACATAGCTATCTCTATTCTTCTTATGTAACCATTCTTGCTACGTATTCATAACATAAAATGCTGTTGAAGAAATACACAAATAGACTATTAATTAATATTTACTTATAATTATTAATTTGCCCCTTTTGGTGTGGGCACACTAATGCCATTAATAATAGAAAGTTGGCTTACTAGAGTGTCCAGTTTGCTTCATCTGTCAGATTTCATATATCTGCCTCCCTCACACTTAAAGATCCGTGAAATTGTTTTTGAAGATAGGCATAGTTTCTTAATAAACACATTTATGTTTCTGTTAATTTTAAAACTATTGTGTATTAATGGAACTGTAGGAAATTCATTGTCACATTGTGAACCCATTTCACATTAAAAAATGATTCAAAATAGAGCATTTAAAATACAGCCACTTGATAAATATTAAACTAGAAAGATAAATATGCTGTATTATTTAATATTCTTTCAAAATCTCACATATGAATCATGATACTCAGTCCATTGAATCACTGAAACATTCAATATTGTCAAAATACACTTTTGGTTTATCCAAACTTCTTGCCAAGGTAACTGATTTCATGCTTTGATGGCAGAACTACACTCCAAGAGAAAAGGAAATATTAGGAAAAAGTAAGTAAGGACATGCTTTAAAAATAGGTCTAAAGTCTAGTATAGATATAACTTAAGGAAGTCGTTTAATCCACACTGAAAAATAATTTTCTGCCCACCCCGACTTGCCTTAAAATATGAGAGACTGAGGAGAAGAAACAATATAAAGCAAAAGACCAAACAAAAAACGACAGTTCCATGGGAAGAAATTCTCGCCAAAAAAAAAATCTTATGAGCACACAGAGAGATCAAAGGAGACATCCCGAGCGAAGTATCAATTCTTAATCTCAATAAACGTTTTGCTATTTAGCGTGAGATATACAAATGTCAGTGTTCTATTTGAAGAGACCGCTCTGCAGGTCTTTCAACGATTTTTTTTCTTCAATCCGAAACATCTGAATGTTCATACAAAATTATTACCGATTTATTCCAATTATGAGTTCGGTGAATAACGGGCATTTGTGGTCCATAACAATAATAATTATTATAATACAAAAGACAAATATTCTTTTTCTTACACAAACGTGAATGACTGGGAAAGAGGACGCAGGTTCGCAGATCACATACTTCGTGTTGCTTCTAGCGCCATCTATGTTGTGCTGTTCGCATTGCAGCCAACGCCCCGCCCAAAGCATTTGTTGAAAAACAAACTCCGTGCTGCTGTGGCCAATGTTTACGTGCAGCTACGGCGCGCCTTTATGTCGTGTAATGTGAGTTGTATGTAACAAATATCGTACAAATGGCATCTTCAGGGTTGTATTGTCATCTTGTAGCGCTTATCTTCGTGGCTGTGACGATCCAGCAAGGTAATTACATCAGTAATGCTGTGGGAAGGAACGCCCATGTAAGGTCGATGGTCCTTCATAGTTCAAAGTGTAACGGATTTTATCACCAAATACCATAATTTAGCCTTTAATAACAGAAAGTAATGTGGTTTATTTTTGATGTGTCTTGACGTATGTGTGTGTTGAGTAAATTTAAATGAGGCCATCTTTTATATGATATAAATATAAGTGTGGTGTAGGTTATGAGTGGTTCAGCATAGTGGAATGTTATCTGGATTTGAAGTATTAGTGCAACTGCTTTACTGATTTGCGACATGAAATTAAATCTCCAGTGTCATTATACTATTAAAAGTGAGATGTATTTAAATTTAAATTTTCTTTCCCAGGAACCTGTATCAAATGCTGGACATGTCGATCAGATTCTGATCCAAAATGTGCAGATCCTTTTGACAACTCTACAGTACCAATATCGGATTGTAAACAAGAACCAACTCTTGAACATCTTCCAGGCATTCGACCAACAATGTGTCGCAAGATCAGACAGAAAGGTGATATTTATTTATTTACTGTTTTGTTTCAACTAGGAATTCACATATGAAAATCATCTATTTAGGATATTGGAAATTGGTTATTGAAATCCTAGTAAAATTAATACCCAGAGATGTTTAATGATGCCAAATGCAAGTAAAATAAATTTGGGTTACTTTTAACTGTGTTACAAGAAACGTTTCTGAATTGATCAAGCAGAATGCAGATTCTAGTGTTCTTAATACAGTACCTGTTGTCATAGAGAGATATTTAATATTATGTCAGTTTTTAAAGAAGTTAAAGTAGAAAATGCAGCTCACTTGGAGAATGGTTGGAGAGTGTGGAAGGGCGTATTAAAAAGAACAACAGGGCAAAAATGCTTCTCTCCTGATATGTTATTACTTACTGTAAATATTGGCATGGAAGTTAATAAATTTTGCATATTGTGCGCTCAGGTCTTCGAGATTCCTTTAACTAACTAGTTAGGATCTGTTTTCATAACGTGTGAAGGCTACCTACCAAACAACATATATCTCACTTGCTTTTTTATTGCAAATTACGTGTACGGTTATATTGTTTTGCTATACATTTCCATGTTGTGGGCAAGACTTTCCCTTGCCTCTCCTATCATAGTTTTCTCCTCACCTGAGTGGAATGGACTGCCAGTTTAAACTTATTCAAGTTATGCTGTAGTTATTAATTCAACCAAGCTGTTCAATTTTGCTTAGTTTATGTGATGTATGGTTTAAACTTAACTTGGCCACTGAACTTGAGGATGCACTGTTTTCTACATAAATATAAGCAAAGAAAACTCCAAAAAACCTTGGTTCTATACATTTCAATGCATTTTTATGTTCAGAATTACTCATGTTCACACAGTTCCACGCCAGCAGTGTGATTTCAGCTTTTGCATGTTGCAAAATTTCCAATGTGGTTTTATGCCAAAACATACATTTGAGAGTTTTTGTCCTCTTTAAGTGCCTGCAAATGAGGTGGCTAAGTGAAAGTTCAGCTGATGAGTGTATTAATTTTGCTTTCATCTGTTTTCAGTTGAAGGCCAGTGGCGATACTTTCGCAGCTGTGCATATTTAGGAGAACCTGGTATAGAAGGTGATGAAAGATTTTGTCTAATGCGCACAGGCACCTACAACATCTTCATGGAGTATTGTACATGCAATAGCAAAGATGGATGCAATTCAGCTATATCAGTGAGGGGCTTTTCCTTTGCTGGGATCGCAGTACTAGCCTCATTGTCATTGTGGTTACTTTTAGTCCTTCAGAGAATCTGGTGAAAACATCTCATTAAATTCATATCAAGGTACTCTTATAGAAGGGTCTCCTTTTCTCACTTTTCATTTTGAACTACCTATTACATGACATCTTAAAAGAAGATTGACTCACTAATTAGTGAAGTTAGGTATGCAAATAAATGAAATTTCTAGGAGGAAATTTCTTAGCTGGTAGACACTGTCTTTCAATTTTCTTTACAAATTGTGCCAGACATTACTTTTAATGACTGAAAACAAGAAATTACCTTTTTGTATAACTTGCACATCTTCCCTAATCTTTCAGAGCTACATTCAACACATCATATTGATGAATCAACCTTTCTTTTGAATATATACTCATCTCCATATCTTCTGCTTTTACACATGCCCCAAGGTCAGGTCTTCAAGACTGATATTTCATTTCTGATAAAATTTATTTGGCTTAGTACCTTCACTAATAAATTCCATTAAATGCTTTACAGTAGTTCTACCTTAGCAAATGCATAAGACCTTAGTACAGGATGATTGAAGCGCTTAAAATATGATGCTTCTGAAACAATGACATGATGGAATAGATGCTAAACAAACCTGCATAAAAATTTACTATGTACATTTTCATGTTAGGGTCTTATGATTTTATTTTCCCATCAACTGTTAGGTTTTTATAGTACTAGCAATGGCACTTACTTATACTTTTACTGTTCTTCATAGCCACAATAACGCAGATCTCTACTTAAGAACGAGTTTTTCATTCTGGCTACTAAGTGGTGTAGATATGTTTCCTGTGATTTTGTGCTCTTTTAGAGCATGGGAATGAATATAAAAAGCATGTGGAGGTAAAAATTGTATGTCCTGGTAATACATACCATAATTGGTGTAATTGCAACAAAACAATAGAAAATATTTTGTTGTAAAAATAATGTATTTTTTTAGGTAAAGCATCATTATTGAAATTATATTTTTAGATGCCTAATTGGCTCACAATTTGTCTGTAGTTGAGATTTATAGATATAAGGAACACATGCTTATTTTTGGTACAAATTATAATTTTTTAGCTTCTAAAATTAAGATAAGCTAAATACAGAGTACTTACAATGCAGTACTTCCATCGTTTTTGAAAAATATGGAATGCAATCAAATCTGTTTTCTTGCAATTATAAAGGCTTACACATAACCATTTTGATATAATTTGCTACTTTCATTGTAAGGACCACATTTAAATTGGTTATGAAGGACAAGACTGAAGAAGGTGATAGAAAAATTTCATTCTGAATGTTGGATTTGCTTTATGCTAATGAGGCATTTCATTGTGAAATATCAGATCAAAAATTAATTTATAAAGGTCCTAACTTCCTTTTAAATTAATGAGAAATGTGTGAAGTGGAAGCTTTTCTCCAGTTTCTATAACTAGAAATCTTTACTGTTCATCGATACTTTTATTAGTGTATAATGAAAGTAGAGGCTCAAAGATACCATTATCATTTCTGTTTGTGCAGCTAGTCAGGCTGATCCTTACTGAAGAATGAATTATTGAAGTCATGAGTAGAAGTTGAAAAAAAAAAAAAAGGCAAATAACTTTTCAGCTTCTGACTTGTAGATTTCCAGTATGTTTACCGTCCAGAAGAGTATAGAATTTAGAATAGTTTCTTCTTATTTTTATACGAAATGTGAAGAGTACAGGATTGCTTTGTTCAATTGTTATAAAGTTATTAGCAACCTGTTATACATGTATATAAGCTTTCATACATTCACTATTGAGGGGTCAATTTTGCCTCAAATATAAATCATTTTATATTCTCAGAATTCTCAGCTATTGTATTCCGTCCATTGTTAAGACTTTTTTTTAAAGATGATATGAACTATTGTATTTTGTAAAGCAAGATTTTTGTAATATCCATTTTGAAGATATTTTCTGGTACAAGTTTGCTGGTCTTTCAGAGATTGTTATGTTTTCAGTTACATTCCTACTCAATTCTTCCAATGTTCTTGGAAATAATTTGTTGAAAGAAAGGTATTGCATAATTTATTTTTTTTGCAAAATGTTTTGTTAAGCATCTTTGTGCATTGTAAAGATGTTACTACATAACAAATTTTGTGGAGAGCAGCTACATTCATTAAGGATTATTTTAAAATGGCATTTTTTTCAGTAAGATTGTGCCAGTTAAATTTATGTTATATTACATGAGTGACTGAATCATGGACATTAAAATAAATGAACATGTTTAATAAATAAATGTTTGGGTATTCTTATATCTTCACTAATCTCTTTCCTTTTATTTTTTTGTAGTTACTCAAGATCAAAATCAAGAAAAATATTTAAAATAATTTTAGTGTTATTCTGCTTATTGGACTGTGTGGTTTCAAAGTTAAGATTTTATGCATTTGTCAGTAAGTTTGTTCACCAAATAACTGAGCTGTCAAATACTCTTTCCTTTTATAGATAGTCTTTGCAGATTAGAAATCCCTATTAAACTAATGCTACAACAGCATATACTTTCTCACATTAATGGAAACGAATAAGTAATATTGAATTTGCTGCACTACTAAACACCTGAGTCATAATTTCAAACTAACCAAGAAGTGAGCAATGCACTATTGCCAATACAGTGTTATCCAAACTATGTGCTTTAACTTGGCTAATATCAGTACAGTAATTAGAATATATGCAACTGACTTCAAAATAATTATGAACGTTTATGAGATGCCCTTTGTCGCAAGGTAAGTTCCAATTGCATTTCATTTAATCACTGATTTCTAACGTCTACACTTCAGATACGATAATCACTATTGTTTTTTCAACAAGGAGAGCGTCCATGGTATTTCGGAAGAGAGATGATGATATAAACAAAGCAAGTGCTTCTCAATCAGTGCAGCATTGTTGTCAAATTTCCATTAAGCTTTGTGGATTGCTTAAAAAGAAACATTAATATGCTGAGAATACACATTGAGTAAAAAGGGAGAAAGGAAAAATATAATTAATATTGGCATTTTCAATAGGAAATTAAAATTAAATTAATTAGATTTCTTATCATTCAATTTTTCTCGAGGCGTATAGTTGGTGTGACACCTGTATGTTTCATTAATTTCAAGCAGAAATTATGCAGAAACTAGTTTTTAATGAGCATTTTTTGTACACCAGATATACCAAATTTTTTAACGTTTCATTACATAAGTTAAGAAAATTTAAAGAAAAAATTGAGCGGTATTTAAGAAAATTATTTTTGTAAATTTTATTAGTAAAATGCGCAAAAACTACTACTTTTTTGAAAACATTGTCAATGATTTGTTTTGGAAGAGCTAATTTTGTACAGCAAAATGTCAGGGGTTTTTGTCTCTATCTCCAATTTTGAAGTTTTAATTATTTTTTTTTATCCAATTATCGAAAATGAGAACCTGCACCATTCTCTGAAGCGCCCTTTGCACTATTCAACAAGAAAATGTATTCAAAAAATTTGTAGCCTTTTTTAATGTTCCTGGGGCTTCATGTAAAGTACCCTACAAAATAAAAATTTCGGTATCAAATTCCAAGATCCACGGCATCAGCTACAACGATTTTGGAGAAAATCGGCTAAACGTTTTATGCACTAGCGTTGTGCTCAGACCGACGTTTTACCGTCAATGGACTTTTCGCTATCAAGGACCCACAAAACATGGATACTGGGTACACCACGTGTTAGAGGATTTTTTTTACATTTAGCAACTGGATATATCCTTTTTTCCCTTACCAGGTCCGGCAATAAGAGTTTTTGTGTCGAAAATTCGCCGTTTTCCGGCACACGATTACAATACTTTCTCTTCTTAAGTTAGTGAGGAAGTAAAAATTTTGTCAAAATCAATTAGAAATTTTTTACTAATCTGAAGTCTAAGAATTCAAGTCATTAGTCACGTCTGTGAACTCATTACAAATGCCAGATATCACATAACAAGTTCACATGGTTATGCAAGTTGGTTAGAAGGTACAAAGGATATTTTTACTAAAACATCCATCAAGCCAGTTTTCTTTAACTAAACAACCCATACCAGAAGAACGAAATGAGAGTTCTTTTTTATCAGTATATTATATTAAATTTCTTACGGTGTTAAAATCTTGCGCTAAATGTACTCTATGGGATGACAGAAACGCCATTTGGCTCTATACCTTTGTTTTTTCAAAAATTAAAAAAAAAAGTTTCTTATCGCTCACGTCGTTAATATTTACATTAGAATCGATTTGTTTATATTATTGCATTTATGAGTGCTTTAAATAATGACATGTAAAGTTGTTCGAAAACTAAAGTTTTCCGTAAAATGAGTTCAAAATTACGCATTTTCAGAAACAAACGCTGTTTTCTCAAAAAACGGCTCCAATTTTTGCTTCAAACTTTTCGGACGGATAGTGCGAATTGCAGTGTTTAAGGTTACATAAATTTCACTTGGTGTATTTTTTCTTTAAAAAAATACATAAATGCATTTATTGCGAAACATTTCTCGCCTCTAATATGAACATTTCCAGAAAGTTTTATATATTATTGTTTTTGTGAGCGGAAGTACTTTATATGACATTAAATAAAAATGTTTTGAAGATTCAAATGATTTTGTGAAAAAGAGCTTCCAATTGTGTAACTCTTAAATGCCATTTTCTCCAAAGTGGCCCCAAATATTTCAAGAAAAATTTCCGTATCAGACGAGGGTTTACTCTATAATATTCTTCTTGTAATACTACGGTTCTACTATTACGAAAACCGAAAAATTGAGAAGAAAGTATTTGATGGGTATAGATGGCAGCCTATGTGGCAAGTCGGAAAAGTTGGCCCAGTGCCAGACCAAAGAAAACAGAAAACTAACTCCTACGAGCAAGTCTGTGCAATCCTGTAGTCTGAGCAGTCCTAATTTCTCGTATTAAACGGAGTAATAAATAGCATAGAGAGTTACGTAATGCCGTGAGAAATACATTTCAACGGAAATACGCATTTTGGTGTCCTCTGATACCGAAAAAGTATTGTTTTTCTCTTTCGAAACGTCCGTCCCCCGGCTGTGAATATCACTAGCGCCTAAACCATACGTAGGATTTTTTTCCAAAATAGATATTTCCTTCGTAGATCTGGATCGAGTCACGGCGCTACTATTTTGAAAATCATTCTTGAAAATTTGGTGGTATTTTACATGAACGCCCAGCTACATCTTCAAAATTTTCTCAAAAATTGCTCTAAAGTTTTTGAAAGAATAAAGTAAAATGACATAGATCTCTTTTTTATCGTTTGCTCTCGATTTACGAAAATTTCAAAAGTTTGAATATTTTTCGACGTATTCCTAGAACTACAAAACTGAAGATGGAGATTTTTCCTTCATTTATATTTTGTGCTTCAAATCACTTCCAATGAAAGTTTTTAAAACCCAAACATTTTTTGTGAAAAAGAGTTTCAAAATTTCGCATTAACGCCATTTTCTTCAAACTGGCTCCAATTTTTTCAATGAAAAATGCCATTTGCTATGTGCCTTTACTCTTTAATTTCATTAGTAATATTTCGGTTCTACTGTTAGGAAAGCGAAAAAATGGGAAAATGTCAAAGAAATGTACTTTGGGCGGCGATAGAAGAGCAGCTGGCAAGAGTATGTGGCAAGTCAGAATCGCTAGCCAAAATCCTGTGTATTCTTTTGGCTCTTTAAAACTTACACTTTTGTAAAAAATTGTCTCACAGCGATAATATGCACATTTTCGACGTATTCTACACATTATTCCATTTGTGAGTGGTGGTGCTTCAAATGACTTCCAATAAAGTTTTTCGAAATCTCAATAGTTTTCTGTGAAAAGGGCTTCTAATTTCGCAATTACAGTAACGCTTAAACGCCATTTTCGTACAAAAAGGGCACCAAATGTTTCAACGAAAATATCCGTGTAGGACGAGGTTTTACTCTTCAATAATATTCAAATAATTTTTCGGTTCTGTAATCAGAAAACCTGAAAATTGAGCCAATGTAAAAATAAAAAAATAACAAAAAGGCAGCGATAGATGGCAGCTGCCAAGAGGATGGGGCATGACCGAAAAGTAAGCCCCGATCAAAGAAACTAGGAAACTAACTAGTACGAGAAAGTCTGTGCCATTTTGTAGCAGTACTAGTTTCTTTTTGTTTTGGGCCTAGAACCGTTCGTGGCATCTAAAACAAAAATAGTATAAAAGTTGTAGTGTACGAAGTACGAGCTCGTTAAAGTTTGGTGCTCTTATACGCACCATAGTTCGGGGTTCATTTTACAACCATCCCCATATTAAAATTCTGCAAAGTAAGAACGGTCTTCGATAGTTCGAAATTATAGATAACAGGTGTAAAAACAATATTTGAAACATTATTTTTCATTCGTTTAGAATTAGAATCTATGTAATCAGACTGTAATTAAAAGCCAAAGACTTATTCCAAAGCTTTTAGAACCGAGAAAACGCGAATACCTCTGTTTCGCAACAGCTCTCATTTACATATGAACGACAGATCTTTGATGGCACAAGGCGTTAATTAAACCAATTGTTAGAATCGTTCCTGCTAGAATGTGCAACATCGTGCCAATGTGCCCCCTGGATCCCACACGGGAGGCCTGCGACAGGGCGGGGGCTGTCCTTTGGCATGTCGGAACGCGGGTGTCAACTGGCGCAGAGGGAGATGTTGGGTGAGAACAACCGCTGGGCAGTCGAGCTCCAAATCGCAACCAGGCTCAGAGTTCAGAAGAGATGATGCCGCCGGCATGGGACGTCTGTCTCCCTCGTGAGGCGGCTGAGTAACTAGCCGTAGGCATTCGAGTTTGAACCGAATCGCCGTGTGGAAGGCACTTGTCACCCGCCGGGGGTTATCGCGAGCTTCGGCTGCGAGGTGCGGCTGTTCGCCATGGGACGAGAGGCCAGGAGCGGCGCTCTAAGGTTAGCCGCTGGGGTCTGTGTGAGGCTGGGGCGGGGATGCCTTACGGATGTGTAGTGCGGGGAGTACAGCGCAAGTTTCTCAGGAGTGTAATTGTACAGAATCATTGTAAGTAAATCTGTACACAACAACTCCGTGTCTGTTTCACTCGCAACCCCGACGTCACAAATGTTTGTTATGTGTGAAAAGATACCAAGGGGGCTCATATCACCACTTTTGCCTCTCTATATCTCTAATAAACGGGAAATATTCTTCCTTTTTGAGAATTAAAATTTGAGTTAAGACTAGGGGAGGATTTTAATGAAATGCTATCTTTTTTCTTTTCACATTAGAACATACCGTTTAGAAAAGAAATTCATTTTATGTTATGAAAACACGAAATGGCCCATTATTATGTTGTTGTTTTTTTGCATATTTCGTCGGTTTCGACTAATAAGTCATTTGTTACCTTTTGTACGTTATTTTAAATGCATTATTTGCGGATTTAATCGATTTTTATATAATTTTAATTGAACTCTCTTCAAACAAGATTTACGAGGTACGACAAATGTTCACTACAGATTTCCTGAGTATAGTAGTCTACTTGATTTCTTCGCTCATACATTGTAATGTCAGCCGTTGAGAGTACTATGTAATCTAAAGTTCCTGTGACGCATATCGGCGACACAGATCGGGCGATTTCGCGATAAAAAAGGCAGAGATTTTCTTGTAAAGAGCAGTCCAAACAAAAAGTTTTCTGAGTTCATTGCAATAAAAAAAATCCTCGATTACATCAGTAACATAGCCTACAGCTTTAGTTATTCATCTAAAGTGGTTTTGATAAACATTTTTACGTCATTTTTCTTTGTTTTTAAGGCATTTTAAAAGGATTTTATTGATCATTGTTGGCAATATTTTATGTCATCGAAATTCGCCCCTTAATTATGACTCATAATTTTGGACACGAAACTATTTAATATCTAAGTAAATAACGTTTAAAAGCAAAATTTAATTGAGAGGGTTTATTAATAAGGGATATTCACAATTACGCTGAACGTTATCCCGCGCGTTTTATAATACTGCACTAAAGTTCACCAATTTATTAATGTATATTAGCTCAGATTAATAAAATCATTGTTCACTTAATTATTATATTTCTTCTCAAAATACAGAAACAAGTAAACATTTTTATGTAAATTTGAAGATCCGCGAAATGAAATGATTAAATATAATTTGTTTAAATTCATCCTAATATTGGCCCGGCTCTGGAGAAACATAATTGGACATGATATAAAGCACAGGTGCTGCTAAATGCAATAATGTGAACAAATCGCCGCTAATATAAATATTATAAACAATAGAGAGATATCAAAATACATTTTTGTAATATTTAGGAAAGAATGCAACAATAAGGCGTTTATGTCATCTAAGAGTTCATTTAGCACTATCCCTACCAAAAATTTAAAGAAAAAATGTAGTTCCGTTTCCGTGAAAATCTTGTTTTTGTTATGTTTCAAAACTGCACACGTTGCACACAATATTGCGCGAAAATAACACAAATTTTAAAAATATGTACACAATGTTAACAAAAGAACTTAGTATAGAGGTCAAATTTAATTTGACCTAAAAACCTCTATCTTCAATTTTGTAGTTGTAGGAAAATACCGAAAAAATTCAAACTTTTGCAATTTTCGAAAATGCAGAGTTTACAGTGAAAAATCGGAACAATGCCACCTTTGCAAGTGTAGTTTACTTTTAAAGGAAATTTAAAGAAAAAACAAATTGAAGCCATTTTCACAAAATTTTGAAAATATCCAAAGGGCTTCATGCAAGATATCCCCAAAAATTAATGGAAATTTCCCAAAATCTCAGAGCTTCGAGGCCAGATCGACAATGATTTATTCAGTTTGGAAAATCTTTCTATATACGACGTATCCTATTCCGTATATACTTGTACATACGTATACGAGAAAGTCACCAGTGCGCCCTTCTTTTAAACGTGCTTTAGACTATCACCAGGAAAATTTAATCAAAACCGAAGACGCCATTTTTTTTGAAAATGTTCCAGGGGCTTCATGTAAAGTACCCCTCAAAATTAAATTAACGATACCAAATTCCAGGGGCAAAATCGGCTGAACAATTCAGCTTGTTTAGACGGAAGGACGCACAGACGTTTTGCCGTCAATTGAATTATCGGCATCGAGGACCCACCGAAAATGGATTCTGGCTACACCATGTGTTAAAGAGTTTTTTTCTCTCTTCTAATGCAGGAACTGGTTTTATATATATATATATATTTGCCGAAGTTTTTAAGATATAAACAAAACATAATTTTCATAGAACATTAATTTTTTATCTCCATGTTTTTTGTATTTTTTCATGCAATGCCACACAATATTTTTGTCACCCGTGAAAAAATTGTATTTAAGGTAATATTTTAAAACATTTTCCATATTGCATTACTTTGAAATGAGTAACAATATTTGTTACTTTGCTGACATTCAAAGTATGTTCACAAGCCTCATGTTGGAACCCAACATTGAAGCATGGCGATTGTTCATCGACTCAACTAACACAAGTTTGAAAGCACTATTATTATAGAATGGAAACAAATATGCAACAGTTCTGGTTGGATATTCTACTCACTTGAAAGATACATTTGAAACTGTCTGGCAACTTCTTGAAAAAATATGCTGTCATGAGTATAAACAGTATGTATAGAGATTTAAAAATTATCTCCATTCTCTTGGGAACATCTGCCAGGGTATATCAAGTACTGCCGTTTTATCTGCGAGTGGGACAGTAGAGATAGAAAGAACCTCTACATAAAGAAAAAGTGGCTTATCAAAACTAGAATGCACCTACGAAATAGAAAAGTATTTTGTCTGCTGTCAATTGACCCTGACAACGTAATCATGACACTTCTTCACAGGAAGTTGGGTCTCGTGAAAAATTTTGTGAAGACAATAGACAATGACTTGGATGCTTTTCAGTACCTGTGCACCAAGTTTTCAAAGTGGAGTTATGCAAAAGTGAAAGAAGGTATGTTCACAGGTCTACAAATAAAGAAGGTAATTTGCTGCCAGTAATTTCCAAGACTTACTAAATGATATTGAAAAAAGTGCAAGGATGGCATTTAAATCAGTGGTAGCATATTTACTTGGAAATTATAAATCTAATATAGTGATATGTAAATGATGTGAAGGGCATCAGAGCTTATAAAAAGCTGGATGTCAACATGTCCTTCAAAATTCATCTCCTCGACTCACATCTTTACTTCTTCCCCGAATACCTTGGTTCGATCAGTGAAGAACATAGTTTTCATCACGAAATCTCAGTGATGGAGTAATGTATTGGGGTCAATGGAGTGCAGCAGTTTTTTTTTCTAGGGCTTTTATCTAACCACCAGCAGGTTACCCTTTATGTCCCGATGGACACATACACTAGACACCAACACACTGGAGGGCTCCTAAGATGTGGGGCCAACAGAACACAAGGCAGTCTGCAAAAACACACAGGAGAGATAAGGGGCAAATAACAATGCAAAAGGCGGGACTCGAACTCGCGACCCTTTGGACTGAACTGCTGAGTCAGCACATGCTCTTAGCTACCTCAGCCATCCACGTCGAAACATTTATATCTAATACGAAAATCTACGTTTGTTCGTTTTTATAGCGCTGTTCATCCGATTGCAATGAAACTTTGTCAACTTATTGCTTGTGAAGAATGGACGCATAGAAGAATGGGAATGATTTTGTGTTTACGCTGACTCATGCGCCCCTGAACAGAAGCACTACGCAACCCGCCATACCGTCAAGTAATAAGTGCCTCTTCTGCTCCTGCGATTGTGAAATATCGGCCGGTATTATTTCTTAACCGTTATTTCAAGTAAATCAAATTTCTCCACGACCATGACATAGCGAATGCATGCCTATTATTGAGGAAGAACATTTTAACAATAGGATTCTTGACAGCCATGTCCAAACCAAGACAGAATAAACCCATACTTGGGAGAAAGTCTTTCATCTATTGACATTTTTGCAGAGCATAACGGAAAACGTGATTAATAGTCACGTGACCACTAGCGCGTAATACACAGCAACAATGAAGCATTGCTGGATCCAACAGTATTACATAAATTGGTGCCAATATAGTCACAAGTACAATACTGTCAAACACCTTCCAAGTACCTATAATAAACTGATGTTTTTGAAAGAAAACACTTTTGATATCAGGGGGCCCCAAAAACTTGTATTTCCATTGAAATCTCAAAATCGATTTTCCGCAGCATTACATAACTTTCCCTATACTAAGTATATTACTCCGTATACCTGTATGTGTACAGTGTTAGGTGTATGGGAAAGTAAAAAAGATATTGCTAGATGTTTTTTTCTCTCTAGACACCAAAATATGAAATCTTTTTTGCTCCAATTTGCATTCATTTATTGCTTCTAGAATATTATGGAAATTTATTTGCAACTTTACAAGAATTTTTTGAAAGTGCCATTAATGGCAAAAGATATTAATTTCATAAATTAATGAAACAGTAAGTTATCAGGAACAGCTTTCAAAATGTTGTATGATTAATTCTTATATGCTAGAGAATTAGTAATGTGGAGATAGTAACCAAATCGCACTGATTGTAGCCAAATTTTTTTTTTACATCATGTCCCAAGTACCTCAAAATATATATATTTTCTATCTCAAGACTGATAACTGTTAAGAAAAATGTTTTAGAGTATTTCTAAGAATTATTTATCAACTTAATTGTAACTAAAGGTTTTCTTAATTTTTGTTAAGTACTTTTCGTACAGTCAACATTTCAAGCAGGTTAACATTTTTAACAAAGAGACTTCATGGCGCAACAACTCTTCATTTAGGAGAATTAACAAATTTTCTGAAACATTCAATAAAGGAAATAAACCACATTTAAACAACTTAAATTTTTTATTCAAATTAGAATGGTGTGTATTGCCACACATCACCACTTTTTCACATTCAGATTGATTAATGTGGAACATCTTTTGTTCCACATGAGTTTACACGTATAGAATGTTGATGATGGAAAAAAAAAAAAAAATAATCATTCATTCAATCTTAGAAGTGCTAAATCTTGCCTTCTTTAGCTGATTTGAATGAACCAAGAGCACTAACCTTGCAAGAGAAACTCTAAAGCTATGTCACAGAACAGTAGTACGGAAGCACAAAATAGGATACCTATATAACTTCTCATTTTTTGGAACCAGTCAGCGCTTACAAAGCAGGAATGCAACATACATGTCATACATTGGTCCATACATTGGTTTAAACTATAAGTACTAGGCTATGCACATTTCAAGAACAGCAAATATTGAAGATATGAGACATTTCCAGTGGAATTTAAATGCATCTTCATTCAATCATCCTTTCAACCCTTCAGACATGCACCACACTAACATTTTACACATGCGTAGGTCCTGCCTAGGCATGCTACTCACTCCTGCAAGAAGCTTCAAATTTCATTATGAAAATTAACCTCCACAAGATGAAAATGGATAAATGTTAAGCTACCTCAATTCTTCATACAAAACTTCAAAGTTTTTCTCAGTTTTCGTTTCCAAAGAGCATTATAGTAACCTTCCTCTGAGGACACTCTTCTCTATCACAGCAAACAAAAATAAACTGCCTGAGGAAGGTAACAATGCATCTCATACCAATCATTATATGACTTAGAACTAACAGAGAATGAGATTTCACTTGGAGCCTAAAAGTACTCAGATCGTCAAAAGTGTTATTATCGTTTCAATCACTACAAAAATCACATTACAGAAGTTCACTGATGAGCACTTAAATGCATAGGTCATCAAAAGTCAAATCACATATCTTGTGATGTAATTAATTACAATGCCCCTGGATAAAAATGAAGTTCAAAACAAATAAAAGCAAATTTCATCATTGGGCTCAGGTACACATAAGGGATTGAGAGGATCCAGGTATTTTGCCATTTTCAGACTGCTGGGCTCTCTAGCGACTAGGTCTTTTAGGCAAAGATTAGGGACGGCCTCATGGGAGCACATTCATCTTCTTCCATCACTTGATCTTGGGAAAGAATGTAAAATAACTACACACACATTTATGAAAATTGGTACAGGAGGGTTATCATTCACTACATGTTGTCAGTTTCATTGCATTGCTGATCACCTCATTTCTTTTAAAAACCCTAAATGTTTATGTTGAAAGAATTTCAGTGTCCATATGGATCCCTCCCATTTATTTATGAAGTATTAGGAGGAGCAAGGAGATTCTTACTAAACCTACTTTGAGACACAAGCATTTGAAAGGGTCACTTAGGTTTCCCAATGGGATGGGGGCATATAGGCTGGTTGACGCAACAGCAATGCATCCAATGCTAAATTCCCACTACGCTCTCGGCCACCTGAAGAGCCTCTCAGAGGAGATGGGAGCAACCATTTACTGGTTGGTGATCCAACACGAAGCCAACGAGGAAGTGAACCACCAGGACCCACTGGTCCCACTGCGCGGGGGCTGCCCAACCCAAAAAATGGCGGAGGTGGAAGTGCACATGCTTCAGCAGCAAGATCCTGCTCACCACTGACATGATAGCAACTTCCACTCGCCATCCCACTGAGCCCAGCCCCCGCAGCCCCGCTTCACATGGGCTTATCAATAATTGCCACACCTGCATAACTGCGACCAATGCTCATGCTTGAAGGTAACATGGACCAAGTGTCTGTTTTGGGATTGTAAACTTCCACAGAAGCTAAGTTGGAGGAACCATCATCACCTCCAACAACATACAGCAGACCATTTAACGCCACAACACCTGTAGGTAAAAACGAAATTGTAAAATAACATTAAAAATCTGCAAAGATATATTCTAAAACAATCATTAAACCCTTTACAAGCGTTTGTGAAATTTTGATAAAATTAGTACATACACCGAAAGCCAACATAACTACAGCATATACAGTATATAAAACAATGTATACCAGCATTCCTTCTGCAGAACATCATTTCAGCAACAAGAGTCCATGTCTTTGTCTCAGGACTGTAGGCCTCTACACTCTTGCGCACATGAGGACCATCATGGCCACCTACTGCATATAAAATTCCATCTAAAACCCCAACTCCTGCTCCACTACGCCGGGCTGACATGTCTGGCACAGGGGACCAAGAATCTGTTTCTGGATTGTAGCACTCAACAGAGCTTAGGCATTGACGGGAAGCTCCATCATACCCACCCACCTGAGAAATACAGTGCAAGAATGTAAAAACAGCAAAGCATATTATAAACAAAATTTCATTATAATTTATACAATAAAAATAAAGTAATAAAGCAAAATAATTCATATTATTTTAGTGTTTTCCAACAAAAATTGTCTTCTATTTTTCTACAATTTGTACTACAATTGAGGTAACCCCATTTTACACAATCACAATTCCATTAATTTTTATCATCACCATCATTGTTACTATTTTTCTTTTTAGAATTGTCATATTTATTATATTTTAAGATTTTTGTAACCTTTTGATTTTTTAATTGAAAATCGTAAACAGATTCAAACAAAAAGAAACAGAAAGGAAAGGAAAGGAAAGAAAAAAGCTTTTATTGTGCATAGGGGTGGGGGCTAAGAAACCTTTCAAAAATCTTATTGTAGAATCATAGTTTAACAATTCATACTTATTTGGTTTTAGGAAACTTTTTGCCATTTTATTCGGGGGTATCCTTTAAAAAATGAATGCTAAGTCCAGTATTTCCCTGTAAATGCATGGTTGTCTGAGATTCCTTGACGAGCTCTTGACCTTTGTAAATAGGGTTTTCGTAGGAAGTGTGTTTAAAAAAGTATACATTTCCTGTGGACGTTTGCATACCTTGACAGATTTTTTAGAGACATTGGTGCAAAATGCATGTTTACATGTTCTTCCAAATACATATACATGCTTTCACAGCAGGTGGACTACTTTATATTACGGTTTTAGCATAGATTATGTTGATATTAAATCTAATGCTTTTACTGCAGAGCAACAGGTTTAAAAATATTCTTGAAAGTTTAGCAGAAAAGTAACTACAAACTGATTTGTTTCTCTGCAATTAAAAACCTTTTTTAAGTAAATGAATGAATCTGATTGAAGAAAATTTGAAAAATTTGTCAATCTTTCATTATTACAAAAGGCAATCAAAACTGAAAATAAGTAAACCGCTAAAATTTTTGACAGCATTAATTCATTTTTACATTGGATTTAAAAAAAGTTCATGTTTATTTATCTTCGTTGGAAATGAAATAAAATTTATTCTGAAATGTCATATTCATCTCAATTCATAGCACCTATATAAGAAATTACAATTTCTTGAATAGGGCCTTTTTTTCACGTTTTAATAGTCAAAATAAAAGATTTTAGAGCCTAAAAATTCAAAGTCTAGAGACAATTAACACTAACGTTTTCGACAGGATACTCACCGCATATAGTAAACCATTGACAACACCCACACCAACACTACTCCGCCGAGTAGACATTGGAGCAATCATGTGCCATTCGTGAGTTCTTGGATCATACATTTCAGCAGAGTTTAATCCTGTTGAGCCATCAAAACCACCTACCTAAAAAGTTTGCAAAAGAATCATCAGAAACTAGAAGAAAGTAAAATACATTTCAAAATGTTGTATGTTTTACATAAAAATTTAAAGAGTATACAATGAAACAAACTAGAAACAATATACTAAACATAACATTCACAACAACTAAAATGAATATTAACAAACATTAAGCATTCAATGGTTGAAAGAATTAAAACATAATTCAATTTATATATATCAGATTAATACTAAGCTCAAATTACCTCTAATAAAGATATACCATTAAACCCTAATAAAATACTAGATGTGCATGTGAAATGTAATGTTATAATGGCAAATCGTGTATGAAGTAATAGTGTTCAGTATTTGACTGAATAGCAATCATTAAAACTTATTTAGTTTCAGTATAAACCCAAATTCATAAACGTTTAATTACATCTGGGGACTTTTTTCTTACTGGTAGAAAACTGTAAACCTACTTCACTTTACAAATGATTAAATTATTTTTTTTATGACGTTTAGAATTCATGAGAAAACTGACGACTTTTGTGAAAAAACTTCTTATTTCATGTCAAGAATCCCTTTGTGTTACAAAGATTAAGGGAGAGACTCATTCCCCCCACCTTTTTATGGCACTGTGCACTGCTTTTGCAAGTTGTTCCTGCTTTTTTTTGACTACTGGATCTTGGCTGACCACTGGCTTGAATTGACTACTGGATTTTGGACATGAACATGTTAAGAATCAACGTTTAATTATTGTTTTCATTGCATGGCATGTACATAATTTTCAACATTTCCAAATTACAGGAAACAATGATGCTCTACAAGAACCTAAGTAAAAGGTCAAACTTGTACTGACACATTCAGAATTCACTACAAAGTTTATTTTTTCTAGAATTTCAGATCTGATATTTATTCAGGAATTAGTAAAACCTCTAATTTCTCATGTTTAATTACAAATTTTTTATTGACAGATTATCAAATTGATTTTAAAAATCCTATTAACACCATCTGCAAGGGATTAACTACTACTCTATAATCACCATAAATTTGCATCTATCAATTAAAAGCATAGCAATAATGTTTATTCATTAAGACTACTCTAAGGGGAAAAATTATGATGAATACTACACGTTTTCAATGACTAAAAGCATCTGCACTTTTTATTAGCACAGAATTTTTTATTATTATTGTGCATTTGCATGAAACAAAACACACTTTAAAATACAAAACAGTGACAATTTTAAGATAAGATGCAGGAAACAGGGATAATAAAGAAAATGCGATAATACATACAGCATAAATACAATTTCCAAGAACAGCAACACCAAGAGTTGATCGCCGAGCTTCCATGCTAGCACAAGTTGACCATTGGTCTAAGGAAGCATCGTACACATCAACAGTCCGCACACGCAGAGAGCCATTGAATCCACCAACTGCATAAACTTTTCCATTGATCATTGAAAGACCTGCGCGGCATCTGCGCGTGGGCATTTCTGCCACTTGGTACCAACGCTCTTCCTTGAAGTCATAACATTCCACACTTCGTATTGCTTTAGGTGCCTGACCACCCACCACTAGCATTACCTGAAAATAAAAAAACAAACGAAAATCCTTTCATCTTTCTTAAATTTAAAATATTCAACTACACCATATTTCAATTTCAATGAACATGTAATTATTTTCTTTCAATAATGACTAACAAGAAGTCAGCTTCAATGAATTTATCATGAAAGTATTGATTTTTTCAAACGGTGAGGAAACAGTAATATTTTTAAATGCACTACACTGAATCCATCACAGAATATAAATGAGTTAGCTTCACATTCTTTCTTCAAAAACATTGATAATGAAACTCATTAACCCACTTGATACTTTCAGAAAATCTTCAATAGTTTTTACGATTGAAATTCATTAACATAAGATTTCCGATTTAAACAATATTTTTAGCTCATTATGGAGTGCAGGGACAGAACAAAAATATGACCTCTTTAATTTCAGAGAACCGTTAAAGAAATGTGCAGTATAGATATGAAATGCGACTTAAATGTTGAAACATTGGGATTTCTTCCGAGTCCCAATGCTACCCGACATAAGCCTTTAATAAAAAATGAAAGCATGTGGTTTTCTTTAGTACTATTGGGAGAAAACCTAACAATGACTGGAAAGTGACTTAACAGTCGCATACCAATGAGAGGGAGATAGTTTTTTCCCACATCTCTGTTTAGGTGAGGAGTTACCACTTCATCTTTTAGACCTTTCATTATTGGAACCTTTCTGAACCCTTGGGGATAGTTTTGCTTCCAATGCTTGGAAGTTTACAAAAATATTCAATTGTCGCTATGAGTAATTTCTTTGTGGAAACTCTTTCAACCAGATTTATCAACAATTACATTAAAATCTTATTTTAGTATCTGTCGTTGCTGAGAAAAAGTTGGGCAATTGAAGCAACATTATTAATGTTACACTGTTTCTTCAAAGAAAGGATGTTGCCATCAGTGTCCCTGCGGAAAGGACAGGAGTACAGAACATGTTTGATGTTTCTAAATCTTACTGTGAGCTACCAAAAGAAAAAAGGACAGAAATAAGTACTTTTTCTAAATCCTATAATTCCATTTTCTATAAATAGACTTTCTCCCAACTCATACCTTTGTGTAGCACTCTAAATAGTAGTTTGTCATTTACCTGACAAAAGAAGTAGTCTGTTCCCTGTCCCGAATGAATTTTTAAAAAATTTTTATTTTTAGCTTGATCTTCCCATCATTAGCACAAGCTTATCAATAAGTAAATCAAACTCTCCGCATTAACAAACGTCTGACATAATTATGAAAACGTAACTAGCACAACCACATGCTCACAGAAAGAGCAAAGACTGTCCATGGCAGCTTGGGAGTATGCAGTTTTCTGATTTCATGGGTCACCTAACTCAGCTCAGAGAAGACAGTCTAGGGTAGCCAATCTTAGTCACTGATCTACCAAATATTTGCTTATGAGCAACGAGAAGCTTGTGATCAACGGTTTGATGATCTCTATTCTAGAAGGTTATTTAAAGCAATTTTAAACCACTTTTCTTTTGAGATTCCAATAAGTGGAAATTACTGCAAAATTGTTTTCTTTAAATGGAGATAAAAATAATAATTTTTAATAATATCCCAATAGCTTTTTTTTAAGGAATGTGATGAAGTACTCTGAAAAACAAACAGCTTCAGCGATTATTAAGGCTGCAGCAAATTAACAATTTTTTTAGAAAGACTAAAGAAATTTGGCAATCAAGGTCTCCCATAACATATTACACAAACTTGTGCATTAGAATACTTTTATATACATACCTTTGGGAGACCAACAGGTTGACGAGGCTTCGTTCTAGGGGTCTTGAATAGGATTTTCTGCTCTCCTTTAAGTAGATGGTACTTGAGGGCTTCTATCAGGAAGTCCTTGCCTGTGGACCAGCACATCCTGGTCAAACATTTCTTCCTCTTCGCATCAGACCATGATGGTGATAAGCGGCAGAGCAAGGAGTATCAAAAGCGCAAGAAACGATTTCACACAACTTTCACGGAAAAATTGTTTAAGGAAAGATTTCATGATAATTTTAGAAAAAACATTTAAAAGAACATTAAAAGGAAGAGTCAAAGAAGAGTTAGTGAAGGCTAAAAGTCTAGCAATTTGTCAGAAGTGTAAAAATAGTGCAATCTACACATAAATAAAATAGTTTAAAAAATAAATAAAATTAAACACAGTGTTAGTACAGGTTTACTGTTAATGTGCTTTATGCAGGTCATTGGAGGACGAGGAGGAGGGGAGAATTTAAGTAAGCAGCACTTGAAGGACAACAATGAAGGAAATCAGGACCCTCGTGGATGTTACACAAGAAGCAGTTAGAAGTGCTGCTAATAAGCAGAGGTGATGGATAACTGTACAGCAGTCACTGGGGCAAACACGCACATTGCAAGTTGGCTTTTAGCAAGGGCTCTTCCTCAACACGCTGTACCAGGTACTCTTGTGACAGAAGAGGCAGGCGCACATGCTCCATGAGCTCAGCCAGGTGGCACTGTCTGCTCTCGAGGTCATGGTGCACCCAGGCCACCACACATTCAAATACCTTCTCCTCTGATGGCACCGTTAGGCGATCACTTGAAATGAGTTTTGACACCTGTTGCGGAGACAACGATAGGAACTCCTCGCACTCTACCACCTCCCTGTTGAAGGAAACATGCCCAACATTTGGTCCCTATTTCATTATTAAGCGTTTTCGACACAAAAATCAAAAGTAAGCTGTTTGCATTATTTTCAGACAAATACTAATACTTAAGTACTATTAAAACACTAAGGAAGAATTCACTAGAGTGCAGCAATAATAATAGTGAAAAAAATCATATGACTGCTTACTGTGATGGCAAAACAGTCTGAGTTTATGAACCTGGATGTTTTTTTAAAATCTTTCATAATATAAATTAAAATCCACCTTGTTTGAACACCAAATTCATTCTTATCCATGTGTGAAAACTGAATACACCAATTCATTCTCCTTGTGTGAACACATAATTAATTCTTTTATAATATCCCACATATAAATTAAAGCCATGTTCTTCCACACAATAAATTATTATTGTTGCTTTTAAAATTAGAATTTTACTTATACTCTAGTATTATAAATATTTAATGTAGTATTATAGAAATGTTGTAATTGGGTTAATAAATAAATTTTAATTAAGAAATTAAGTTTTATAAGTTAGTAAGTAATAAAAGAACTTACGTGAAGTGCTGTTCAATGTACCCCTCAGCATGTGCCAACAATTCAAGACAACCATGGAGATCAGCGAAGGCTCTGATTCCTAGACAGTTTGTTGGATGGAGCTGTGCTTGCAAAAAATCACAGCATGCATCTCTTACATCTGTCAACTGCAACAGATTAGCTGCTGGAAGAAGTACCTGGAAAAGAAAATGAATCTTTAATGTTCAGTAAAACAATGCAATAAAATTAACACCAATGCTGCTGCATATGGAGTATTATACGAGTAGGTCCACAAAAGTGTCTTTTGAAGTGCCAATGTTTCCGTCATTTATTTTACCAACGTTTCAGCCATATGCTCATTAATTGATAAATTAATATGAATATATACATAAAATGTATGTTACAAATGACAATTAATGTACATACAATTACAGCCCTGATGCAGGTGAAAGAAATGGCTGAAATGTTGGCATTTTTATCAACAGATCCTTATAATTCTCCACATATAATTAGAATACAAGGTCAAGATCAAGATCAATGTAATAATTAATACAGCTTTTCAATTTAATATCTGAAGTATTTTATTTGCCTCACCTGTACATTATCTTCTGTAACGTGTACCTCAGAACTATAAACATACTGGACAAGAAGTTGTAAAGCCTGCGCATCCACTCCTTGCAGAGTGATACGCTCTTGTTTGCTCTCTTCAAAACTCGTGAACATAGCATAGAAATAAGGGGAGCATGCAGCCAAAACCATCTTGTGAGCAGGAACTTCCACAAGGTCAGCCACCAGTGTAACATCACAAAGTAGGTTTTGTCTGTAGAATAAAAGTTATTTTATATTATACTCTATCCTCTTTTAGTCAAATTTATTCAACAAAACTTTACAACACAACAGACAAGTAACAATTACGTTTTTATCTTATTTTCAGGACATTCAATCAAAAGAACAAAACAATTTTCCATGTTACAAGAAATGTAATTAAGATGAAGTTATTAAAAAACATATAAAGTTATTAAAAAATAAAATAAAAATGGTGAACCCCTCTTCCATTCCTTTACAGATTTACTGTTAACATCCTTAATTCTTCTCCCTAGCTTTTCTATTTAGAATTCTATTTCTCCTCCTTGCCTTACAACCAAGGACATCTTTCCCTTTTAGACAATTACTAACGAGTGCTTGATGTACCTTTCAGTTACTTAGACCAAAGCTTCCCAACGTGATCAGTATTGACTCACTGGAGGTTAATGAAATTTTTTTTGCTCCTGTTCCTGTTTGTGCGGGTTCAGTAAACCAAGTAGATTAATCTTCTAGGTGTTCCTGATTTTTCCATCCCTTTAAAGGTCTTCCAATGTCTCTGTTTCTAATTTGTTTATATTTCCAGTTGAGTTTTGGTAGGCTCTTACTCTCCATCCTGCAAATGCGTTCTTTCCATCTCTTATGATACTCTAATAGTTTTTTGATTTTTAGTTTTTTTCTGATGTCCTCGTTTTTCACCCTGTCTCTTCTTGTGACTACTAAGCGGTGGCTTAGGAATGTCATTTATGCTACCTGTATTTTCTGCTTGTTTCCCATGTTTCTGAACCATATCGAAGCATGTAAGCCTAATTTTTTTTTCTTATACAAAGCCTCAAAATGTCTAATAATAAATTACACATTTGTTGTGTTTAGGAATTTCACATTATTTTGAAGAATTAAAATCGAATTTCTGCACAATTCAATTTGGCAGTTTTGTTTCAGAACAGTTTTTCACGTTTTGGAGAGGGAAAACAACAACAACAACAACAAAACAACAACAACACTTCTCCCCCCCCCCCAAAAAAAAATTGTTTACTTTCTTTGTCCAATTGTTACCACTGTCTTCTATGTAATTATTTTTATTGATTGCTGCATGCTGTATATTGAAGAACAAAATTGAAGGGGGTCAACAAAGCAAAGTATTATTTTAAAAGTGGTTGGTGCAAGAAAAGGATTCAGAATTCCAATTTTGTTTCATGTTGTTCAACAAATTCAAAGATAAATGGTAAGAAAGTTTTGATTCAAACTCGGCCAATTCCTGTTGCCTACCAGAAAAAGTGACCAAATTTTTCCATCAGTGAAATTCACACTATGTGCACCCATTTTTCTTTCGTTAGTCAAATATACACACTGAATTTTCTACTCTACATTTATACTTCACACTGCATTGTTCTGAGAAAACCAACCCTAAAAATATTAAAGCCTTATGAAACATTTTAGTCATCATTTAAATGCAAAAATAGATGAAAAAACCAAACCAAACAATTCAATGTCGTAAATAGTGAAAAAACATCACCACTACCCACAAACACAATAACCAGGGAAATCTTTCAGAAACAGTTCTGCTGTGAAAAAAATTATGAACTTTTTCTCAACACAAACATCAACTGTCAATATTTTGAATGATTGGGCTAAAGATAATTTTGTTCTTAATAATTATTCGTTTAATAAGAATGTTTCTCTATGTTCCTTGTAATGTACTGTGTCATTAATTATAAATTGAACTTTCTGAAATAATTTTCTTAGTATAGCTTGTATGTCTTGCATGAAGTCATTCCAAGAGGGAAATGTCTTAAGTTCTTTATGAAATCTCTTTTCCCCAATTTATAGGCTTTCTCTGTTTCATGACAAGAAATTAATTAACGCATGAAAAAAGTACCACTTGCTTTCCTTGACACATTTTGTTTTATTTAAATATGTTAAATCTGCTGAGAAATTACATAGTTTTAAACAATCAAAAATAGAATAGTAATCACATTAACAATGCACTAAATTTATTTATTTTAATAATGCTAAAATCAGAACATGAAAAAAAATGTTCTGTACAGCAAAACTTACTTAACAAATATCCAGATATAAAAAAAGAAATTGTTAAAATGTGCCACAAATATCTAGTGTCAAAAGTTTCAATGTATTATGCATATTTTCAAATGTAATTTTTCAGGGAAAAGCATAGAAAATACCTCAAAAAATTGAACTGAGTTTTCTAAGTCCAACAACGCATGGACTAAAGCAACCAGAACAGTGACAGTTTGCTAAAGACCATTTCACTATATCTAGACAATAGAATAAAAGTTATTTTTTGTATTAGTTTTAAATTGTCTGTTTTAGGTATATTGTACAGGTTTTTGAAGAGTGTGTTGTCTAAATGCAGGGATGATATGTGAATGAATAAATGAATGCAGGGAGAAGAATTCTGTTATAGATTTTTACAACTTGTAATGAATAAATTTCTCGAAAATTTTCTTGGCTTAGAAAAATGACATTCCTTGTAGGGTTAAAAATAAACTACTAATTAACAAACCAAAAAATACCTTAAATGTAGACCCAACTAATAAATGTTACATAATACCCAGTCCTGAAATAATCAACGATACAAATCATGTTTCTCTTCGATAACAAAAATTCAGCAAGGTAAATAATTTCCTGTATTTTGACCCTGCAATTTTGTTAAGTAAAATGTAGATTGTTGACATCAATAAAAAAGTAACAACGCATTTTTATTCCGTCAGTTTGGGTACATTTTAAGCCTAAAACATCGTTTAATCATTGGGAAATAAAAGTTGACCAGATATGGTGCGGCAGAGGTGACAACTACAGCAGTTTTCGCAGAACGAAACGTCACAGCGGCGAGAGAGAAGGAGAGTGGGAAGCGTTGTAACCTTATCAGCGCGTCAGGCACCCCGCTCGCCACCTCTCGAGGTCAACCACTGACATGTCTGGCAAGATACGTGAGCCATTGTGAAGGAGGCGGACGGGTGGGCGGTCGCGGGCAGCCTCTCGCTCGGCCGAGCCGCTCACTCACTTGCGCATGCCGTTCATGACGTCGAAGGCGCGGTGCGTGTGGTGCGGGTTTCGGTACGGCGGCTTCTCTTTGCTGCTCGCGTACGGGATGTGCTTCTGCGAGCTCTCGTCCAGGGAGTTCTGGCTGGCGTAGCGCAGCAACAGGCAGCTGCGAACAAAAGGCAGAAACGTCTCAGGGCGGAATACACGACTGTCCAAGGGCGAGACGTACGAACAGGCGAATAGGAAACTTGTTATCTCCCCCAATCGCGCCCGTCCCAGGAAGCGGAGGGAACAACATACCGGGTCTCTGTCGGGTAGACAACGTCGCGCATGTGATTTGCTGGAGCGTTTGGCAACGGTCACCTTACCTGCCCACCCCGGGCTCGCCGCCTCCACCTGCTCCTCCTCCTCCTCCACCGCCACCGCCTCCGCCGCCGTTGACTGCCGCTTCCATTTTCGAGATCATAGGCGAGCGACGGCGTCGGTGCGATCGTACGGACGACCAGCCCCCTGCCGACGGACACCCGTCCCCGTCCAGCTGCAACAGCTCGCAGCACTCAACTGCACCTGGCGACGTCTACGGCTCGCAGCTGCGCAGCCCGCACCACCATGGCGTTCCCTGGTTGCCTGGCCTGGCCTCGCCTCGCCTCGCCCGCGCCGCTGCGCTCGGGTCGCGCGGAGGGGACAGGGGCGCGCGCGAGCGACTGACTCCACAGCCTTCCAGCGCGCCGTTCCGCCGCGCGCCCGCACGAAGCGTGGAGAAATACGCGAGGCGCCACGTTCGAACGGACCCCGCCAGCCATCGATTTTGTTCGCGGAGCGAGACGCGACCAAACGAGCCGCGGGGGTGTCAGTGGACACGTGCATATTAATGCGAACGTTGTCTCGCACGCTATCGCGGACTTTCAAGATGACGTGCCAAACTTAACCAACGGATTACTCCATAGTTTAACCCTTAGCCAAGCAGAAGGGGCGAAGTGATGTACATAATTTGTTTATTTACATAAAAAAGTAAAATGTATTCCTGGTATTTAGAAAGGTAAAAACAATGTTTAATGCCTGCAAATAAACCGTGAAGTTATAAATCATTTTTCTTTGTGTTGTGGGAAATAAGACATAAACTAATCTAGATGAGATTGTTGGCTCTGAAAGTCATTACAATAATTTTACAGACGTATTCGTGACACATTTATCTTCACAAAGAAATAACCCATTCCATATGCTACAAATTTAGAAACCTTCAGTGAAGGCATTAGTTTTATTTTTTTTATTGAGAATCGTCAGATCACACACACGCGCGCGCGCGCACACACACACACACACACACACACAGCTTATGGTGCTACAAAATGTCACCGACTTTCTCGTATTAATTAATTTTCTATTCTCTTCAATCTGAGTCTGAGCTACCTTCTCGCCTTTGACCGACCCTTTTACCAGCAACAATTTATTGGCACCTAAAAGACCTTTCTGTATTTACACGTATTTGCTCATGATATCCTTTGGCGCCATCTCGGTGCTTGAACCATTGTTCAGGGTGTAGGGATTCAGTCATCTGCATACACAGAATGCACACACAGTTGCCTGGCAGGTCAAGAGATAATAGTAAGATTAAGGTATAGGTGTAATATAAGAGGGACTCCGAATGACACCACATCCTGAACACAACTTAAAGCATGCATGTCTTACGTGTGATTCGAACTCATTGCCTTAGCATCACGTTCTGTGGCTTTCCTGCCACAAGCCCCACTCTCACGGGACCGAATTACTTGACCGCACTAATAATTGTAAACGTGTTACGGCTTTGTAACACAATAATTTGATAAAACTAATTATGTAATTAAAACCATTCAAATAACTAATAACGAAAATAATAATTAAAACTAACCTTTTAAGCATACGCGGCCTTAAAATGCTTTGTAACATTCTATCTATGTATCAAAATAACTTTGACAGCATTCGTTTTCATAGCAACAATGCAAACGAAGTTACTTTAGCATCAAATTGGCTCAACATTGCATTCTGTAATTTTCTCAAACCATTTTCTTAAAATTAACTAAATCTACAGAAAATGTTGTAGAATATAATATTTATACATACATATCAGTTAACACAATGGTTTAGTTTATTTTGATGTAATGACCCTAATTCATTTTTATGCAAAGCCTTGAGGAAATAGTATTTTATAAATAGCACGCATTTTTTATAAATATTTTCTCAATTTCACGGTCCTCTAATAGCAGAATTGAAGAGTGACTTTAAGAATATTGCCGGACACTAAAACTTAATTCAACATGCAAATTTTCATAAAAAAAATTTGGAGCTGTTTCGGAAAATGTTTGAACATTTCTGAAAATACATAATTTTGAGCTTATTTTCACAAAAACATTTGAGTTTTCGTGAAATTTCATTAGAAATCATTTAGAGCACTTAACTCATAAAGGCAATAAAGTACATAGATAAAATGTAATGTAAGTACTAACAACTTGAAATATTTCAAATATTACATTGGAATAATTTTTGGAAATAATAAAAAAAAATAATATATCAAAATGGCGTTATCATATTATTCAGTAAATTTAGCACAATCCTTACAAAAATCTTTAAGAACAAAAATGAAGCTGGGTTTGAGAAATATTGTTTTCAATATCGCCGATATTTCACTCAAAATTACGGAGAAAATACGAATATTTTTAATTAACTGTTCGTGACATAATTAAACAACGAATTGTGAGACCGTGTTCAAAAGTCATTTTATTTGCGCCCTCCCAAAAATACTCGAATTTGAAGAAATGGCTTAGAATCTTTTAGATGGATCCATAATCCGATCCGAAGTGTATGTATGTATGAATGTTTCACCAAACCGTTTGAATTGCGATTGATTCCAAATTTGTACGAATACTTTTGGGCGGCCGAGAAAAAAAAGTGCGATGAGATAATTATTAATAATAAAATAAACACCGGACCAAGACCATCTGAATGCATTAGACCTTCATTCAAAATAAACGTGTTTCAATACGTCGAAAATGTTTTTCTCTCATCTAGGGTATTAATAATAGCATACACGGACAAAGTTAAAAGTAAAATACTGCATGCCATGTTAGATTTCACTTTCAACATTTCATATCTACAGTACTTTTTCAGTAACTGTAACTACTAAGTTACTTTCTAAACTATTACATTTACAGTTTGGCAGTTTATAAGCTGTAGACTGAAAATAACAGCGCATTAAAGAAAATTAACTTTCAGACATAGCAAAAAGACACGAAGTTTATGTATACTTATCAGTGATAGTATTGCACTAGACCTCCTGGCTAAGGGGACATTACTAAATCAAACATTATTACAATTGCCTTAAAATACATACTTTTTTAGACAGCCACCAGTAAAAGCTGTTCTTTCATGGAAAGCGAAGCTAAAAGTTCAATTTTCAGCACTAGTGCTAAAAGTGAGCGATGTTCAAGTGTTCAGATAAATCGGCGAATACAACAAAGAAAACAAAATACTTCCGCCTGACCGCATCAGCTACTAATAACCTTAGTGTATTATTAAGTGAATTGTATATTTGAATTAAAATAATAGTAGTTCAAAACGAATGTCTCAGGGCCGCCCTCTGCGCCACTAGATATACTCGTATAGAAACTTTACATCGCGAAGCATCAATGCCACTGCTAAAAAATCATATAAAAACTTTAGTTAAAATTTTTTTTGAGAAAGCAGCTGACTCGGAAAATGAACTCATTTCCGCGATCGCCTCATACCAACCCGATCAAAGGGCGAAGTATAGGCGACCGAAACACTTTCTGGAGTAAGAGCAATCTGAAACAGAGAAGTGGGACTGGGGCTTAAACATAGTATTACAAAACACGCATTGCGCGCGCCGGTAGGCTAAAGTCTTTTTTGACCTTTGTTTTTCTCTTTATGTTACAGGATAGGCCATAGATGCCCGTAAGGGTAGGAATGGCCCCACCGCGCTGGCGTGAACGCGCATTGCAATTTAATTGCGTTCACAAAACTGCACAAATGTACTGCTGGCGAATTAAAATAAAATGTAAGTTATTAAGGCTGTATAAAAACTGTATGACACGTGGTAAAAGTGATTTTATTTTGCTCGGCTTGCGCTACGCGGCCTCGCGTCAAACCTTTCCCACTCGAAAAATAAAATGTTACTTTTACCACCCGTATTATAAACAACTATTAACTGAATATTTTCTCTAACGTATGCTATAGTAAATAATGGAATGTCTGTATGCATCACTTAAATTATAAAAGAGAGCATTCATTCTCAAAGCAAATGTTTTGTATTTCTGTTCCCCGTTTCAGTTTCAACACTGTCAAAACATTAAATGACATTTTTCATATCACTTAAGGAAATTGTGCTGATCGTAAGGCAGGATCTTGTCGATCAGGCACCCAAGTGTGTTATGAAGATTGGTTAGGGGATATAGTTGGAAAATCATCTTCTCCGATTTGATTCACTTCAACTGGTTCTCCACTAATCTCAGGAAACACATGGGCTGGAGTACATGGCGTATGGGAGGCGGGAATGGATGGGTGATGCTTGGACATGAGAAGACGGGTTAATTTATTGGGTCTAGGATATCGACAGGTTATTGTGTTAAAGGAAGGCATTAAGGGAGGAGAAATATTTTTTGATGATAAATAAATCAAATTTAACAATCCAATTGGTGATGGCCTTGGCTATGTCATCTGATAGTTCTGAATGAGACGTACGAGCCAGTTATGGATAATGGCAGAGAGAGACGTATTCGTATAAAACAATACTTTCGCATATAATTGTTTCGGTATAGACAACAAAATTCCTGTCGATCGACTCCTCAAAAAAGACTTCACAATGAAACAGGGTTTTTGGTTGCTCATCTGATTGTAATTAAACTAGTGATACAAAAACAGCATGTACTTTCTCGCATTCCAGTTACGGTTACGTATTAATATAATACAGTAATTTCTGTCTATACTAACACATCTCTGCTATGGCACTAACATATCTCTGCAAACACAAGCTCAACAATCCAAAACAATGAAATTTATAGAATAGACGTTTCTAACTGCCGAGTCGCTCAACTGCCGAGTCGTTTCTAACTGCCGAGACTTTCAAAAAAAAGTTTCAACAGCATGTACCTTCTCGTTTTATCTGTAAAAGATACTAGTATTTGTATAATAATATTGCATTATTGTATTATTAAATTTTATACAAGTAATTCTAGCTTGCTCGTAAAAGACTGACAACAAAAGAAGTCCTCGAAATTTGAATTTGCAATTTCCATAAGTTCATAGGTTTTAATGATGATTGGTCTTATTCTATATTCGTTAGTACGTTGCTCTTATATTTAAGAAAAAAAATTAAACCAAAAATTTGAAGCCATTTTCATAACATTTTGAAAATTTTCCCGACTTTATGTAAAGTACCGTGAAAAATCATAATATCCTTTTCAAATCCGCAGGGTTGTATTTCGATCTAATCGGAGAATGTCAATTTTGGAGAAAAAATCTAGAAATTAAGAGACACGGAAGGCCTACTCCAAGTCTTCAAAATTTTATTCAAACGGTAAAAACAGTAAAAGGAGTAAAAGGAGTACAATCGAAAATTCAAAAACGGTTTATTCTATAAATACATCCGGTTATGTGGGTGTTATTCAAAGACAGCTGTTTTGCCTTCCCTGCGTA